ATTCTACATCATTTATATTTTTATGGTAGACGTGCCTCAATTCACCTATTATATTCTATTTTTTCCAGATTTTTCGGTGAAATGCGCCATAGTTAAAAAAATCGAAAACCGATTTTTTCGCACGATAAAGTCCCTTATGATTCGAATTTTTACATTTCCTTCCATCAGTAGTCGTATTTCTTTTTGCTAAACACTTTTGTACACAACAACATTAAGGATCAATTGAAAAAATGAGCAATCTCCCTCTTCATCTCTGCTATGTAATGGTAGACACTCTTCAATATTTATGTCTTCGTCGGACTCTTCGACGAGATTTGTTCTACCATACGTGTAAACCGTGATTTGAAATTGCCGCTGGTTGGTCACGTGATGGTCCCGAAGGCGGAGGTTGGCTACCTGATGTTAGCGACGATTCTCCCAGCGGACTAACAGTCCATGTATATGTAGTTAAAGGAAGAAATAGTAGTGGGGACAGCAGGGGAAGAGGAGAAGTCCCTCGATCTGGCAACCCTCGTTGGAAGTGTAAAGCGACATGGATAAAAATATCGTTTTGCACGAAGACGAGAACATCGACATTGATCATATGCATTTTAATGAGATCAATGGACGAAGCATCGTCGGTATTGGACATATTTCTGCAGAATTCCGTACATTGTCTGAACGTCGAATCAACGTATGCCCACAGCCAACTCTAATACTGTTGGTTTGGTTAGGTTAGATTACGTTAGTTTATCGCTGTCTCGAGAATCTAGGACCGTTTCGCGCAGATTGAAAGGTGATGAGGATGAGGATGAGGGTCGCAGCGAGCGTCTCAGGCTCTCAGGCCTCCCTTTAAATTAGTTTCCGCCTCATGAACCACGGTTCAGTATTCACGACAAAACACCAGGACGAATGAATAGGCAAGATAGAGAATTATAGACATGAATAAGAACTGCGCGTTTGCATACGTAAAATAATCAAACATTTAATATTTTCCAGAAATATACATGAATGTAATAGGAATATTTAAATATTAACAAATAATATGTATAAAAATGTGAAGGTTTTTTATATGGTATTATTCAGTTTCGGAATCACTTCCGCCGGAATCATCGGACTGATTATCCACCCAGGGGTCACCTTCGTCTAACATATCGTCCGTGATGTAGTCAAGCTGACGGAACTTATTTTCTACTTCCGTTGTATGCTTGATTAAATTTTGCCATGACTCGGCGGTCACATTTTCCACGGCTGCTTCAACTAAGTATTCAACATCTGGAAACTTGTACATTGTACTTTGAGTTCGGATGTATTCTTTTATTTCTGTCCATGCCAATTCAATGGGGTTCAATTCCCAGTGGTAAGGGGGAAGGCGTACTACAGTATGTCCAAACTGCTTTGCAAACTCGTCAACGACATAATTTTTGTCGTTCGGGCGCTTATGCTTCTCCACTAATTTAAGTAATTGCGCCTTTACATAGTGTACAGACTGCAGCTTTTCCCCCTTACCTATCAGCCACGTAATTATATCGTTTTTCTTCCAACCTAAATTTGGATATTTTTCAATTTTCATATTGTGGTATGGAGCATCGTCCATCACAATAACTGCCCGATCTTTTAGCATGAGCAAAATCTTTCTGAACCACGTAAAAAATGTATCGCCGTTCATTTCCTTGAGATAATCGTCAGAATCTGTTTTGGATTGGCAACAAAGGAGTGCTCCAGGTAGAAATCCGTCTGACGACCCGACGTGTGCAATAATCAACCGGTCTCTCTTGCAAGAGGTCTTAGGATTGCCTATCGACAGTGCGCTTTTTGCCGTGTTTGTTGATGAGGTAGCTGCTGTGCCAACCCAAATTTTTCGTCTACAATCTCCAACGTTAATCGAAGTTTCATCTAAATAATATATCGGACGCCCTTCTGATCGATATTGTTGAATATCCTCAATGTAGTGTTGCCGCCAGGCGACAATGTAGTCCTTCTCGATTAAAGCGTTATTGCGCCAACGAATCATGCATTTGAATTCCAATTGCTTTAATATCCGATACACGGACGACTCACTCAAGGACGGGAGCTCCGGGTCATCATTTACAGCTTCCCATACTTTTCTCATGTTTGGAATTTCTCGACAAAACCAAAAATCATGTACCTTCTTGCGTATACCAAGTATTTCTTCGTCAGACAATTTTTGAAAAATTTTTACGCGCGGTTTCTTTCTGTTTGGTGAGGTTACTCTGCCTGTAGATTTATATTCAGAAATCGTCCTCTCTATTGTTGTTTTACCAATTCCCGTTTGCTTCGATAGCTCCTTTATCATGGGTTTATATTTTGGAGTTGGATTTTCGCTGGTCATATGTTTGTAAAGGTTTATAATTGTCATTTTCTGTGAAGATCCGACGAACTATAAAGAGAACGAAGTTTTGTACGCGTAAGTATACCACGCAGGCATCGCATATTTTTTCGGTCGGCCGGAAAGTGGGGACGACGCGACCATGGTGGGGTTTGGTACTTGATGGGGATATACTAGGAATGGTCAGCGAAGGCGCATGAGGGGAACAGTAGTGGGGCTCGAAATACGGGCGAAAAAGAGGGGAAGCGAGCCGTGCACGAAAAAATATGCGCACCCTGATACCACGTATACCACAAAAATGATTTGAAACACATATCTTACGTAAAAGAAATAGGGATATTTCGTGTTTACAGTATCGAAGTGTAGACAATGAGATATACTCTTACCTTTCCCGATGTGTTTTTTTTTGTTGGAGACATAATAGATTTTCCAGATTCTTCCTCCATTTCCAAATCCACAATACAATAAGCACAAGGAAATATTCAATACTTGGAAAAAGTCGGAATTTTCGGAATTCACAAAAACTATGTTTCACTGCACACACTTCGAGCTCTCTATAGATCGCTTTGGACGATGCGGCTGAAGCGGCTTGGCGTCGCATCAGTGACTCTGTGCGCACGCGTTCACATTGGGAAGAGGTAAACGGGAGGAGTATACGCAGAACGATCAAAAACTGAACTGTGTTCGGTCCTAGACTCTCGGAACGGCGAGATTGGTCAGTGATTTTTAAAATTACTAGACTTGTTTTTACTGTACATCTCGTCAAGTTGGCAATGTCGACATCAAATACATTTTTATAAAATAATTCTGTAATAGATATCGGTTAATTACGTGATTAATTGTAATTTTTAGGGTTAGCGTTTACGTTAGACCACGATTTTATAATCTTTAAGACCGTGGGTTAGATTGTCACTGTCAGAATCAAAATCAAAAGTCACTAGGACGAAATGCTTTGACGATGGTACCAGCGTTGAGATATTTTTTCCCTCGGCCGGAAAGTGGGGACGACGCGACCATGGTGGGGACTGGTACTTGATGGGGGTATGCTAGGCATGGTCAGCGAAGGCGCATGAGGGGAATAGTAGTGGGGATCGAAATACGGGCGAAAAACAGGGGAAGCGAGCCGTGAGGGAAAAAATATCTCAACGCTGGATGGTACTGCGGCGAGCATGACCAAAGCGCGGAAAGGGAGTAGTAGCAGAATAGAGACGCGCATACTGGCGCATACCGAACTGAACCGAAGCCGATACATTGTAGTGTAGATACAAGAAGTGTTAGAACCGAAGGGAGGTGATTCTGTATATGTTTCTGAACAACAATTTCCTTTGGCAAAACGCAAAGTGAGGCATGGTTTTTGAATTTTCAACGAAAAAGCCTGACCAATGAGAATACGCGTAGGACCCGCGCTGACCAATGCCCGAGCGTTACGAGCCGTGCCAACATATTTTCCGTATTTTTCGCTTCACTTCAATTCAAAGTTCTATCGCTGTAGTTCCATAACCAATGATATCTCCATCCCAGCCACTGTACTATTTAGAAAGTAAATAGATGACAAAACTGTACAAATGTTATCAAGTTACAAGAATCACCTTATTAAATAAAATAACTTGTGTATAAAATACTCACATCCTTGGATCAGTTGCGTTGAAACCAGCTGTATGTAAATAATGTTCACTTATAGCATCGGGCACCTGAAAAATGAATCTAATTAATATACAAATAATTTGCAAACAGCGTTTCAATTTCAATTATAATAACCGTGGGCGTGTAATCTTCAAGTTGTAATAAAAAATCTGAAAGAGGTTGTCCAGCAGTTTTTGTATCCTCGTTCGCTGAGTACGCGGGCGGTGTTTCTCTTCCAAAATCTTCGGCCATTTCAAATATAAGTATTTTATACACAAAGACTTGTTTGTATATTTCAGTTGACTTAAGGTATATCACTGCACAGTTTCTAACCTCGAACGATAGCAGTATGTATTAAATTCCTTTACACAGAGGAATTCAGCACTTTTAATTAATAACGAGTCGTAGATGTGATGAAAACGTTAATATCAAGTTAACGCAGCAAAAGAAATCGTATTGTACGACACATGACACTATCTTCGACCTTTATTTATCAATTTGGAAACTCTCGTGAGACTTGTTCTGTGTTACAATCGTTACAATCCGTTACGATAACCAACGATGACCAACGATGAACGATGACACTGACACTGACATGCACCACATGCCTCACGCCCGTAGTGGGGATGACGCGACCATGGTGGGGGTATGCAGTGATTTTTAAGATCGCTAGGCTTGTTTTGGCTGTACATCTCGTCAAGTTGGCAACATAGACACTAGCGCCGCTGTTACGTCCCGGCTTGGGTTACTGATAAGGTAGCTCCCTACACCGGAACTTGGGACGACAATCTTTCGAAC